TTGTTGAGTATTTTTGCATCTATGTTCATCAGTGATATTGGCCTGTAGTTTTCTTTCTTTGTGACATCCTTGTCTGGTTTCGGTATTAGGGTGATGGTGGTCTCGTAGAATGAGTTTGGGAGTGTTCTTCCCTCTGCTATATTTTGGAAGAGTTTGAGAAGGATAGGTGTTAGCTCTTCTCTAAATGTTTGATAGAATTCACCTGCGAAGCCATCTGGTCCTGGGCTTTTGTTTGTTAGAAGATTTTTAATCACAGTTTCAATTTCAGTGCTTGTGATTGGTCTGTTCATATGTTCTATTTCTTCCTGATTCAGTCTTGGCAGGTTGTGCATTTCTAAGAATTTGTCCATTTCTTCCAGGTTGTCCATTTTATTGGAATAGAGTTGCTTGTAGTAATCTCTCATGATCTTTTGTATTTCTGCAGTGTCAGTTGGTACTTCTCCTTTTTCATTTCTAATTCTATTGATTTGAGTCTTCTCCCTCGTTTTCTTGATGCGTCTGGCTAATGGTTTATCAATTTTGTTTATCTTCTCAAAGAACCAGCTTTTAGTTTTATTGATCTTTGCTATCGTTTCCTTCATTTTTATTTCATTTATTTCTGATCTGATCTTTATGATTTCTTTCCTTCTGCTAACTTTGGGGTTTTTTGTTCTTTTTCTCTAATTGCTTTAGGCGCAAGTTTAGGTTGTTTATTCGAGATGTTTCCTGTTTCTTAAGGTAGCATTGTATTGCTATAAACTTCCCTCTTAGAACTGCTTTTGCTGCATCCCATAGGTTTTGGGTTGTCGTGTCTCCATTGTCGTTTGTTTCTAGGTATTTTTTGATTTCCTCTTTGATTTCTTCAGTGATCACTTTGTTATTAAGTAGTGTATTGTTTAGCCCTCATGTGTTTGTATTTTTTACAGATCTTTTCCTGTAATTGATATCTAGTCTCATAGCATTGTGGTTGGAAAAGATACTTGATACAATTTCAATTTTCTTAAATTTACCAAGGCTTGATTTGTGAACCAAGATATGATCTATCCTGGAGAATGTTCCATGAGCACTTGAGAAAAATGTGTTTTCTGTTGTTTTTGGATGGAATATTCTATAAATATCAATTAAGTCCATCTTGTTTAATGTATCATTTAAAGCTTGTGTTTCCTTATTTATTTTCATTTTGGATGATCTGTCCATTGGTGAAAGTGAGGTGTTAAAGTCCCCTACTATGAATGTGTTACTGTCGATTTCCCCTTTTATGGCTGTTAGTATTTGCCTTATGTATTGAGGTGCTCCTATGTTGGGTGCATAAATATTTACAATTGTTATATCTTCTTCTTGGATCGATCGCTTGATCATTATGTAGTGTCCTTCTTTGTCTCTTCTAACAGTCTTTATTTTAAACTCTATTTTGTCTGATATGAGATTTGCTACTCCAGCTTTCTTTTGGTTTCCATTTGCATGGAATATCTTTTTCCATCCCGTCACTTTCAGTCTGTATGTGTCTCTAGGTCTGAAGTGGGTCTCTTGTAGACAGCATATATATGGGTCTTGTTTTTGTATCCATTCAGCCAGTCTGTGTCTTTTGGTGGGAGCATTTAATCCATTTACATTTAAGGTAATTATCGATATGTATGTTCCTATTCCCATTTTCTTAATTGTTTTGGGTTTGTTATTGTAGGTCTTTTCCTTCTCTTGTGTTTTTTGCCTAGAGACGATCCTTTAGCATTTGTTGTAAAGCTGGTTTGGTGATGCTGAACTCTCTCAGCTTTTGCTTGTCTGTAAAGGTTTTAATTTCTCCATCAAATCTGAATGAGATCCTTGCTGGGTAGAGTAATCTTGGTTGTAGGTTTTTCTCCTTCATCACTTTAAATATGTCCTACCAGTCCCTTCTGGCTTGCAGAGTTTCTGCTGAAAGATCAGCTGTTAACCTTATGGGGATTCCCTTATGTGTTATTTGTTGTTTTTCCCTTACTGCTTTTAATATGTTTTCTTTGTATTTAATTTTTGACAGTTTGATTAATATGTGTCTTGGCGTGTTTCTCCTTGGATTTATCCTGTATGGGACTCTCTATGCTTCCTGGACTTGATTAACTATTTCCTTTCCCATATTAGGGAAGTTTTCAACTATAATCTCTTCAAATATTTTCTCAGTCCCTTTCTTTTTCTCTTCTTCTGGAACCCCTATAATTCGAATGTTGGTGCATTTAATGTTGTCCCAGAGGTCTCTGAGACTGTCCTCAATTCTTTTCATTCTTTTTTCTTTATTCTGCTCTGCAGTAGTTATTTCCGCTATTTTATCTTCCAGGTCACTTATCCGTTCTTCTGCCTCAGTTATTCTGCTGTTGATCCCATCTAGAGTATTTTTAATTTCATTTATTGTGTTGTTCATCGTTGTTTGTTTCATCATTAGTTCTTCTAGGTCCTTGTTAAATGTTTCTTGCATTTTGTCTATTCTATTTCCAAGATTTTGGATCATCTTTACTATCATTATTCTGAATTCTTTTTCAGGTAAACTGCCTATTTCCTCTTCATTTGTTAGGTCTGGTGGGTTTTTATCTTGCTCCTTCATCTGCTGTGTTTTTCTTTCTTCTCATTTTGCTTATCTTACTGTGTTTGGGGTCTCCTTTTTGCAGGCTGCAGGTTCGTAGTTCCCGTTGTCTTAGGTGTCTGTCCCCAGTGGCTAAAGTTGGTTCAGTGGGTTGTGTAGGCTTCCTGGTGGAGGGGACTAGTGCCTGTGTTCTGGTGGATGAGGCTGGATCTTGTCTTTCTGGTGGGCAGGTCCACATCTGGTGGTGTGTTTTGGGGTGTCTGTGGACTTATTATGGTTTTAGGCAGCCACTCTGCTAATGTGTGGGGTTGTGTTCCTGTCTTGCTAGTTGTTTGGCATGGGGTGTCCAGCACTGTAGCTTTCTGGTCGTTGAGTGAAGCTGGGTGCTGGTGTTGAGATGAGATCTCTGGGAGATTTTCGCCATTTGATATTATGTGGTGCTGGGAGGTCTCTTGTGGACCAGTGTCCTGAAGTTGGCTCTCCCACCTCAGAGGCACAGCACTGACTCCTGGCTGTAGCACCAAGAGCCTTTCATCCACACGGCTCAGAATAAAAGGGAGAAAAAGTAGAAAGAAAGAAAGAAAGAAAGAAAGACGGACGGATAGAACCCTAGGACAAATGGTGAAAGCAAAGCTATACAGACAAAATCTCACACAGAAGCATATACATACACACTCACAAAAAGAGGAAAAGGGGAAAATATAATAAATCTTGCTCTCAAAGTCCACCTCCTCAATTTGGGATGATTCCTTGTCTATTCATGTATTCCACAGATGCAGGGTACATCAAGTTGATTGTGGAGATTTAATCCGCTGCTCCTGAGGCTGCTGGGAGAGATTTCCCTTTCTCTTCTTTGTTCTCACAGCTCCCAGGGGCTCAGCTTTGGATTTGGCCCCACCTCTGCGTGTAGGTCACCGGTCTTCGCTCAAACAGGACGGGGTTAAAGGAGCCGCTGATTCGGGGGCTCTGACTCACTCAGGCCGGGGGGAGGGAGGGGTACGGAGTGCAGGGCGGGCCTGCGGCGGCAGAGGCTGGCCTGACGTTGCAGCAGCCTGAGGCGTGCCGTGCGTTCTCCCGGAGGAGTTGACCCTGGATCCCGGGACCCTGGCAGTGGCGGGCTACACAGGCTCCCCGGAAGGGAGGTGTGGATAGTGACCTGTGCTCGCACACAGCCTTCTTGGTGGTGGCAGCAGCAGCCTTGGCGTCTCTGGGGTCTGCGCTGTTAGCCGCGGCTCGCGCCCGTCTCTGGAGCTCCTTTAAGCAGCGCTCTTTATCCCCTCTCCTCGCACACCAGGAAACAAAGAGGGAAGAAAAAGTCTCTTGCTTCCTCTGCAGCTGCAGAGTTTTCCCGGACTCCCTGCCGGCTAGCTGTGGGGCATTAACCCCCTGCAGGCTGTGTTCACTCTGCCAACCCCAGTCCTCTCCCTGCGCTTGACCGAAGCCCGAGCCTCAGCTCCCAGCCCCCGCCTGCCCCGGTGGGTGAGCAGACAAGCGTTTTGGGCTGGTAAGTGCTGGTCAGCACCGATCCTCTGTGCCGGAATCTCACCGCTTTTCCCTCGGCACCCCTGTTGCTGTGCTCTCTTCCGCGGCTCCGAAGCTTTCCCCCTTCACCACCCGCAGTCTCCGCCCGCGAAGGGGCTTTCTAGCGTGTGGAAACCTTTCCTCCTTCACAGCTCCCTCCCACTGGTGCAGGTGCCGTCCCTCTTCTTTTGTCTCTGTTTATTCTTTTTTCTTTTGCCCTACCCAAGTACGTGGGGACTTTCTTGCCTTTTGGGAGGTCTGAGGTCTTATGCCAGTGTTCAGTAGGTGTTCTGTAGGAGTTGTTCCACGTGTAGATGTATTTCTGGTGTGGGAGGAAGGTGATCTCCGCGTCTTAATCTTCCGCCATCCTCCCAATCCTACATTGGTTCTTATACTAATTCAAGCCTCTAGAAACTTGTTTTCCTCACTGCTCATAATTTTTGCGAATCAAGAGAAATTCCAAATTTTGTTTAATTATTATGTGATTGCTTCTTTACAATAAGTATTAAATAATTGATTTTAGAATGATTATCACCACAATTTTGATCAGAGTAAGAATGATGATGTTTGATCCTACGTATTATTAAGGTGAAGACATAGATAAAGGCATAAATTAGTGAATAGTAACTTAGATAGATAAGTACAATTTTGTATATGAACTGTTTTATGTGAAGATTTTTGTATATTGATAAGGGCCTGGGAAAATGTGATCACTGGACTCTGTTGCCAAATGGAAGAAGTTCTTGGTAGGTGCTATCTTTTGAACACGATCAGACTCTTTATAGACATGTTTCCAAACTTAAACAATGACCAATGAAAGCTTGCTTTTCAAATGAGCTTTTAAAACAGTTAAAGCAAAATTGATGAGAGAGCTGAAATAACCCTCTTCTCTCCCTGTGTCTTCCCTATTACTGTTTTTGCATGGTGATTTTTGGTTGCATGTATCCAGATTGAAAACGAGGAGGAGAAAGCAGCTGTGGAAACCTAATTCATGGGAACTTCTTGAATGTACTCTCAGATGCCAATAAAATCCACTGAGCAATTTGACAGTCTTTCTTATATGCTCCTGTTATGATGATTAATTTTGTAAAGATCAGTGTACCTTTTTGTTGTGAATTATATTTAATGCTATTAGTTATACTGTGAGGTAAATATGCACAACTTATGCTGGAGTTAGAAGGACCAACATCCGAATAAGTTTGGAACTGTGACATGGATCATGGGTTGATGTAGTCTGTCTGTATGATTGCTGGTATAACTTAATTGACATTTTATCTTTTTCTTTCTGATTTTTTTTTTGTTCAATACATACATATATACATACACACATACATGCATCCCAACATCTAGCATTTACTAAAATATCATGTTTGTATTTTTATATTTTACTCTGGTAATTTACACTGCCAGTGTAGGGAGAAGATGTATACAAATTTACATTTACTATCTCTTTAAAAGTTACTTTGTTATTAAAGAAAATGTTTAGGTCTAGAGGTTCCAGGTTTTTCCCCTTCCCTCATAGCCTTTTTGTGGCTACTAATCGCTAGCCTATCCTTGATTTGCCTAACTTTGTTTTTTGCGTTATAATTCTGCTAAGATTCTGAAGCCATCAATAAAAGTTTAACTTTCGCCTTTTACTCATCTACCACCACCAAAAGGAAGTTGAAAGGAGAAAGTGTATCTTAGACTGAAAATACTAGTGCTGGAAAGCACACTTAAATTAGGAATTTGTTTTTACATTATTATGTAACTATCTCTACTAACTTTTTCATCTTGTCAGCATATAATTATATTGATTGGCCTTCAACGAAGAAAACAGAAACCACTGAGTTTATTAAGCAGACTTAGCACAGTGCATTAGATGCTTACAAAATCATTGGAAGAGCTAGAGAAGTAGGACTTGGGGGCTACTACTGGAGTTGCTGGGTTCCAGAATAGACCCCAGCAGCAAGATTTTAAGGTGGAAAAGCCTCGATGCTACTGCCACTGCCTCATACCCTCAACAACCGCGAAGCTAGTGCATAGTCACTGGAATATGGGCCAGGCTGCCAAAATTACTTCTCCCTTGCATCTCATCATCTCTCATTTCACATAGGCTTTCATAAATGGAGAAAAATAAGTCTGCACTGAAGCAACTAAAATAATTATTGTGCAAAGAGTTTACATGGCTTTTCCTTACTCTAAAGGAAAAGAAAGGAAATATGTGAATATATTATGAGCTAGCTCTCAAGTAAGGCAGATTGAGACTGGCCTTTCTTTGTGCCTGTTTTACCTAAATCTCATTAGTAAGGCACACATACCCAAAAAGAAAGGGGAAAGAAACATTTACACAGAAACATTTACTCAGGATTTTCCCTGAACCAGATCACCACTCCTTTATCTGTGGTCTAGGGGGTAGCTATTTCTGGCTAATTAGATAAGGCAATCTGCTCACATCACAGGTTTTGCCACTTGGACTGACAGTTCATTTCCTAGTTCACCTGCAATAAAAATGTTTCACAATGAATTAAACTTTCAAACATTGATTCAGATTAATGTTCTAACCTGATTGCACTCTAAAAATGCCTGCTTTAAGAGGAAAAATGTTACCTTCTTCCTTTGAATGTATTAGTCAGCACTTCCAGTTCACACAGCCATGCCTCCATCTTTTCTATAAATCACCTGCCAACAACAACAAAACAACAATGGTAATGTAAGCATTAATAAAAATGCCTACTTTTCACCTTTTTCTTAATTTCCAGTGACTATGCAGATTCTCTTAGCCTAAGCTGCTGTTTAAACACATTTTCTCAATAACTTACAAATCAACAAGTCCTCCAACAACTGTTGTAGAAAAAGATTTGCAAAGATTCATCTAAGGAACACCAACACCCCAAAATTAAATAGTGTGTGCTCTTTCCGGGAATTCATGTAACATTTACAAAAACATGATTAACATACAGGCCTTAGAGTCTCAATAAATACCAAAAACTCTATTATTATACAATGCATTATCTAATTACAATGCAATAAAAATATGAAATGATAAATAGTCCTCCATTACCCAACCCTCTTCCCCTTCCAAAAAAAAAAACCCTGTGTCTTTGGAAATAAGAAAAAGAGCTTTTTAAATAAGTCATGAGTTAAAAAAAACATAAGGACAATGACAAAAACATTTAGAACTGAGTAATACAAATAAAGTACATACCAAACTTCCAAAGAACATTTTTTAGTCATAAATACCATGTTAAAATAAAGAAAAAATTGTAAGCTTAGTGTTCTACAAAAGAAATTAGGGAAAAACAACTGAAGAAGAATAAAAGAATAAAAGGATAAAAACAGGGCAGAAACTAAAGAAATTTTCTCTGGCTTTCTCTGTGAATCTAGCTTAAAACGAATGAGGATACTAGAAGGAGGGTTTTTGGACAATTTTGTTCTTGAACATAGCATATGTAACAGTTTGGATTTGGTAAGGGTAGCTGAACTACTAAGAGAACTACTAAGACATGGAATTAGGGATTAATTATAAAGATTAGACTTTACACAATAATGAGAATTAGTGAAGAATACTATGGAAGGTAGGTTGTTGCTTTCAAAGCTGGTGCTGAATCTGAAGTTGCTGCATGTCAGCAAGACTGATGGCTGAGAAGATGTGGAATCTAAAGTACGTTGACAGCATACCACTGACAGCATAAAATAGGATCTTCTATTTTTCTACTCTGATCATCTCTTTGTTTGGAGTGTTCAATTAACTTGCATTTACTGCAACGATTGATATGGTACCTTGACAAGTTTGTGACTTGATTTCTATATGTCCCATGTCTGTCTTATCATGCTACTCCCTTAATGATGCAGTGCTTTCTTCCCAATAGCTTTTTACTTTTCTTAGGAGAAATTCAAAAACTATGTAATATTTCTTGTCTAGATAAATCCCATATACTCCAGGTTTAAGCCATATTACATTTCATTTAGTTCAATTCACACCTTCGCCAAATTTTACCTCTTTAAGACACTGGTGCGCTTTTTTTTTCTGATTAAAAATGTCTCTATCTATCAGCTAACCTGGCTAACTCTGGCTCGTCCTTTATGTATCAGCTGAAACCTTGCGTACATTTTTTATATAAGATTAAAACCTTCCATAATGTATTCATACCACTCTCTACTTCCTCTGTGGTAAAAGAGGTACAATTTTACTTTAGTTACTTGTTAAGGTATCTGCTTTCTGCCTTAGAATATATGTATATCCTGTGAAGTCAGGAACTATAGTATCATGTATTTCTAACTTCTAGTTCAGGAACTGGAAAATAATTAGTATTCAATGACCATCTGACAAAGGAATGTAGTAATATATTGTCATGAAATGATTTCAAATCAACTGGGACTTCGACTCAAGAAGCTTGTAATAGGACAACAAAATAAGCTGTACAATACAAAGAAGGTATAAATACAGTTAAAAGCAGAAGTCATTTTTGAACTTTTTAGTAATTGAACACTGAAGAAATGTACAAAAGATAAGAAAATGTCCACATGCTCCCCTCCACGCATTTACTACCCAGCTTCAACTCTTATCAATATATGTCTAACTGTGTTTTTTCCCCCTATGCTTCTAAGTAAAATGGCTAAGCACAAGGGTCAATGGTGTGTATAATTTCACAGACACCGCTAACTGCACTTCTATAATGGTTGTTGCATTTTGCGTTCTCACTTGCAGTATATGAGAGTGCCTCTAGTCTGGTCAAGAGAGTATGTTGTGAAATTTTGAACTCTTACCAATAAAATATATGAGAGATGATATTTCAGTGTAGTTCTACTTTTAAAACAGAAGTTCTTCAAAAACAAGTAATTTAGTGCAGTTATCAGTGAAACCAAAATATAGTTCTTGGAGAGGCAAAAAAAAAAAAAAAAAAAAAAGAAAGAAAGACAGGGGGCTTCCCTGGTGGTGCAGTGGTTGAGAATCTGCCTGCCAATGCAGGGGACACGGGTTCGAGCCCTGGTCTGGGAAGATCCCACATGCCGCGGAGCAACTAGGCCCGTGAGCCACAACTACTGAGACTGTGCGTCTGGAGCCTGTGCTCCGCAACAAGGGAGGCCACGATAGTGAGAGGCCCGCGCACCGCGATGAAGAGTGGCCCCCGCTTGCCACAACTAGAGAAAGCCCTCGCACAGAAACAAAGACCCAACACAGGCAAAAATTAATTAATTAATTAATTTTTAAAAATTCTTACTGTGTTTATCTATTCTTTTCCCTAATTCAGTTAGCATTCTTATTACTAATGTTTTGAGTTCTTTATTTAGCAAATTATTTACTTGTTTCATCAGTTGTTTTTTTCAGGGGTTTTCTCTTGCTCTTTCGGTTGAGACAAACTCCTGTCTTCTCATTTTGCTTATCTTTCTCTGACTCTATGAAATTAGATGAAACAGTTAACTATGTTAGCCTTGAAGTGGGTCCTTATATAGGAGCAACACTATACAGTCTGTTTGTGCCCAGTGGCTTTGGTGGGAGAGCTGGATTTGACGTCACATCTTTCCTCAGGGTGTGCTGGCAGCTCTCACCTTGGTAGGAGGTGGGGCTGGATATGGGAGGGCTAGGGCCTGAGCCAGGTGTGACGTGGTTCTTCCCCTCTGCTTTGTGGCTGTCACTGCCCTATTGGGGTGGAGTCAGGTCCCAAGTTTCTGGATTTGAAACCCTGAGGGTCTGGTCCTAGCTGGCTCTGATCTCTTTAAGTGTATGCTCTTCCCCCTCCCAACACCAGCACCCTCAGCCTCAGGGAGGAGCAGTGTTAGAGCAAGAGAGGGCAGTGTGGGTATTTGGTAAGAGTGGGCCATGGGGTATGGCGGTCTAGCCACCATCAGAGATGTGGTCTGGCTCTGATGTGCTGCCTGTGGTCACCAGCAATTGTTGACGCCTCCCTGTTCAGACTCTGCTTAGGGTTTGAGCCACCACAGCATCTCACGGCCAAGATTTTTCCTTGGTTATGGAAGCCCTCATTCCAGTGTGGAGCTGCAATGCAAGGCAAATGATGCTGGAGTGTTTAGTTGGCTCAGGCTGGGGTACATGCCAGGGCAGTCGCCA